GAGGGAGATTGAGAATTTCAAGCAGGCTCCCTGCTGAGCGCAGAGCCCGACGACGACAATGTGGGGCTCCATCCCAAGGACCCTGAGATCATGACCTGAGCCGAAATCAAGATCTGGTTGTTTAACCGACTGAGCCACCCAGGTGCCCCAATTTTTGTCTTTCTTGTTCACTGTTGTCTCCTCAGTCAATTGCCCACTTTCTGGCTCTAGCAGATGACCAATAAATTCCTTGAATTAAGAATAAGAGTTATATGGGAAGTCTGATCAGAGAGGGGAGTAGGGGGTAGGATTTTTGATCTGATAGATCACTGTAAATGAAACCTGGAGGCTGGAAGAGTTACCTAAAGAGAAGGGGTTTTAATCTGGGCTGTCATGCCCTCTCTGGATGTACTTTCTCTGTGTGCCCTTCTCGTTTGTGGGGTGAGGTATGTGGACAAAAATGATTGCTAGGATTTCTCCTTCTCATCCTAACATTTAATGCTAGAAAAAGTGGTCTTTGCTGGCTACTCTCCTCTTTCCAGGGCTTCTGTGTTGCAGAAAGTCATGGCTACTGACAAACTAAGGAGCAATATCATGATTTTAGCCTGAGAAATGGAAGCACTCTTACAAAGACTTATTCTGGGAAAGGGATACTTACTTTTATAGGATGAATTAAGCTGAGTTCCCATTACTTTTATACAAAGCAAGATGTTTTTCAGAAAAAGAGAGCAAGAGAGTGAGAATGGGCCCGGGCTCCGCTGAGGACAGAGCCCGCGGGGCTGCCAGGATCCTTCCCCCGCCTGCCCATGTACACTGTGGAGCTGCGGGGAGGTGCTGAGGGGGAGGACTTCTCGGAGGGAAAAAAAACCCCACGCCTGCGAGCTACTCACCGGAGGTCTCTTCCAGATGAACTGGATGGGGAACTTCTGGCTGTAAAAGAGAGAGGTCTCATCTGGTGGGAACTCCGGATCCAGATAAAGAACCTTCTTTTCTAGACATTTCTTACGAAGCTGCTCGAATGTCTTCTCTTTCACTCCAATAATGGGGAAATTGCGGCTGATGATGGCCGAATAGATGCCACTTGGGTTTGCGCCCCCAGCCTCGGTGGTCTTGCCTTCGCCCAGCTGGGGAATCGGCCCCGGGGACCTGGGCTCCGCCCCCGTCCGTGGGGCCACAGATGCGCTAATGACAGTTGGCATGGCAGGCAAATGTGGAAGGAAAAGATTTTTTAAGGAAAACAAGATCCAGCTACCTGCAAGGGAAGGAAGCAACGGCCAAGGGGAAGTTGGAGTGATTCTGTCATCTGAGAGAAAAACGTCCACATCCACACCCGAAGCTAAAGCCCATCAGAAGGTCATCCAGCTTCTGTCCATCCTAAAAGCCGAGCTGTGATCCCGAAGTCGGAGGTTTTCCCGAGGCAGGAGCACTAGAGGGTTTCAGCGGCGGTGTTTACCTGGGGGCTCCTGCCGGCAGCTCGCACGCCAGAGCGAGAGGCAGAGGGGAGAGGGAGGATTGTGTTTCACTGGCCTGGAGAAGCTTGAGCCAGGAAAACTAAAAATAGACATGAAGGAAGATTATGAGTATGAGAGCCAGGGAGGCTAGTGTGGCAGCCAGACGGCATGGTGGAGCGAGAAGGACCCGGCTAGGGACGTTCCCGCATTGTCTTGAGTGCTGGTGTCGTCAGGAGACGAAAGGGGATTATTTGAGGAGATTGGACGCTGAAAATTAGCCAAGAACTGCTGATGCGTTATTGAGTCGGCACATAGGCGGATCGTCCCCCCATTGGCCACCATGTGAATGCAGAACAATATTGAGAAAAAAGGTAGCCAGGGTGAATGTGAGATCCTGAATTCTAGGAGGATATTCTAGACATCGTTGAGAACATAATCTTTACTTTCTAAAACTCTAGGTTATCAGAACATTATTCAGTTGGGTTTGGCATCTCTTCTAGAATGTTATGGTGTCAGCGTCCCGTGGAACTGTCTGGGTGGAAAATGCCATTCCGCAGAGTCCGCAGTTGAGAAAAATGCCTGTCTCTTTCTTGCTCACTTGACCTAGACCCCTCTTGTCTCTCCTCACCCCCCAAATAAATACTGGACCAAATTTGCTACAAAAAGTGCCCCCGAGTGACTGTGCAGGCACGCCACCTTAGGCGTCTGAGTCAGAAGGTGAAATTGGTTACTGAATCGCGTTGCCTCTTGAGCCCCCGGGGGGATGTCATTCCAAAAGAGTTGGTTTCAGGGCTCTCAGATAAGAACACAAGTGGCTCTGGGGAAGGGAACTGCGTGCCTGGTGTCCACCGCCTTGCGTTGTGCCCATGGTAGCTACTACCCGGGCCGTCAGGAGGTGGCAACATTCCACGTGGGGCTCAGTGGGGGCTTGTCCTAGACTGTAGCTCTGCCGGCTCCCATGTGACCGGTCTCACCAGCCCAAGGCTAGAGGCTATGAGAGAAGGTGGGAAGTGACAGCTCAGACAGGGAGGACTACCAGGCTCATGGTCGCTGGGGCTGCAGCTTTGAGGAGCCCTGTGTCTGGAGCTGCTGCTTGTAGGGACCCTCAGCCTGTCCTCCTGTCTCCTAAGGAAATGCCCAGGGACCTTTACTCCTACTCCTAAAGGCGGACCACCTGGGTTCAAAGTCTGGGCTTGTTGCTGGCTGGCTGTGCCTGTAGAACTTTAGGTGAGTTACTTTTTCCTTTTTTTCCTATGTCTCAGTTTTCCCACCTATAGAGTGGGTATGTGGGTAGTCCTTCTGTTATTGAGTCATCACAAAAATTAAACAACTTAATTTATGTAAGATACTTAAAATAATGCCAGGATTGTCTTAAGCACTCAAATGTTGTTGTTAGAGGTGACCTCAATTTAACATTATTTTGGGGTTAGATGAGGTTGCATTAGAGTCACTCATTGGTGCAGATCAGCATTCGGTCTACGAGCATTTACTGAATATTTCCCATGTGTCCAACACTAGGATAGGTGTAATCTGCTCAGGATCACATGGTCACAGTGTCTCCAATCAGAGCATGCCTATCTGCCTACACTAAAAAAGCCTCTAAAAAGACTGACTTCCAGTCTCAAACTCACCAATGACAAGGAAAGCAGAGTGGGAGAAGTTTCCTTTCTCCACCCTCAAACGTTTGAATCCCAGCCCACTGCTCCATACCATCTTGAAATTTCATGGCACCCACCCACATTTCATTGTTTCTCCTCACTGAGCTTCCTGTTTGCCCTATAAGAGTGTAAGCTCTGTGAAGCTGGGCCCTGGGTCCCCATTCCACTGTCAGGGTTAAGCACATAGAAAGCTTTTAATAAATATATATTGTCTATCTGTCGAATGAAATGTCCCTATGTGAGGAGAAATTTCTTACCCTTCTTACTGCTTTGCTAATGTAATCAAAGTATCTTGGCTTATTTAACCCCGGGGGGGAAGGAGCTGTCTCTGGGCCACACACCCCTTGACCTTGCTTTCCTTGGCTGTCTCACCAAGTAACTTAGTAACTAACAGGAGCGTGTGTTAAAATGAGCCTATTGTCCTAGCAGGATGGGAATATCAAACACACGGAGTGCAAGGTGCTATTCATTTTGCTTTGATTGTTGTGGATAAAACCCCCTCTCAGATTAGCAGGTCTAAAAAACAAGGTTTATTCAGCTGTGTAGCTGTAGAAACTCCTGCTATCTGGGAGAAATCCAATCTGGGCCCAAGGACAAAGGGCAGGGAGCGAGCATGTGAAGAACTGTACATTTCAATTCCCAGAAGTCTCTTCAAGGGTAGAGAACTAGTTTTTATAACACATTTCAGCCAACATCATGCAATATCTGTGATTGGAATGGTTCCTCCAGCGCCAAAACGGCCAGCTAATGGCTTCGTATCACTGTCTCTTCCAACAATAAATATTTCTTTGATTTAACTCTATTGGAAGCAATGCATTTGCTTATAACACCCATCATTCATTAAGTGCCTACTGTGAGTTAGCCACTGCACATAGCTTTCAAAACTTTTAATTTTAAAATCATTTTAGGGGCGCCTGGGTGGCTCAGTCGTTAAGCATCTGCCTTCGGCTCAGGTCATGATCCCAGGGTCCTGGGATCGAGCCCCACATCGGGCTCCCTGCTCGGCGGGAAGCCTGCTTCTCCCTCTCCCACTCCCCCTGCTTGTGTTCCCTCTCTTGCTGTCTCTCTCTGTCAAATAAATAAATTTAAAAATCTTAAAAAAATAAAAAAAAATAAAGTCATTTTAGATTTACAAAAGAGTTGCAAGATGGTAAGAGTTTCCATATGCCTTTCACCCAGCTTCCCCTAATGTTTACACCTTACATAACCATGGTACAATGATTCAAACTAAGAAATTAATGCTGGTAAAATACTATTAACTAAACTACAAAAGACATTATTTTGATTTCTTTAGTGCTTCCACTAATGGTTTTGTTTTTTCCTCTTCTGTTACAGGATCCAGTTCGGGCTCCTACCACTGCATTTAACTGTTATGTCTCCCCAGGATCTTCCCATCTCTAATGGTTCCACAGTCTTTGTCTCATGACTTGGGACTAGTGAAGAGTACTTGGCAGGCATGCTATACGATGTTCCTCAACTTCAGTTTGATGTTTTTCATTTGATTAGACAGGTTATGGATTTGGGGAAAGAATATCACAGTGGTCATATGCCCTTCTCATTTGGGGATACATGATAGAGATGTGTTTTATCACAGGTGACAGCAATCTTTTTTTTTTTTTTTTTTTACAGAGAGAGAGAGAGAGAGAGAGAGAGCACAAGTAGGCAGGCAGGCAGGCAGAGGCAGAGGGAGAAGCAGGCTCCCCGCCGAGCAGGGAGCCCGACGCGGGGCTTGATCCCAGGACCCTGGGATCATGACCTGAGCCGAAGGCAGACGCTTAACCGACTGAGCCACCCAGGCGCCCCCACAGGTGACAGCAATCTTGATCAACTGGCTAAGGTGGAATCTACCAAGTTTCTGCAAAGTAAAGTTACTGTTTTTTTCCTTTCCATACACATAGCGTTACCCGATTGCAGGGTTCTTGTCTCACGGAGTCGAAGAATGAATCTCGCGGACACAAGAGGGTGAAATGAAGTGGTGAGTTTATTAAGTGAAGGGGGGAACAGAAAGGAAAGAAAAAAGCTTTCTAGAGTGAGAGGGGTCCCGAATGGGTTGCCACTGTGAGCTTTCACTGTAGTCTTTTATTGAGGACTGACTAAGGAACTTAAATCTTGATGTCTCTACCACTAAGACCATGATGTTTACTTTTTCTTTGAAGTTTGGTAATTTTCAGTGGTCCAGCTGTAGCTGTTACAGAGATATCTTGTCTCTGACATTTAAGACAAACAAGGTAGTCTTGTTAGTCTCATTATATTCCCTTATCTCTGGTTTTGTACGCCTTAGCATTTTCCACATCTAGGATTTCTATGAACCTGAACACATAGCTCCCTGCATGAGCCTAGTCATGTAGCCCCCTACCTATCTCTCTCTACCTAGCCCCACCTGTCCCTTACTCAATAGGATACATATTTTTTTTTCTTAAGTAGGCACCACGTCCAGTGTGGAGCCCAACATGGGGGTTGAACTCATGGTCCTGAGATCAAGACCTAAGCTGAGATCAAGAGTCGGACACTTAACCGACTGAGCCACCCAGGTCCCCCCACATAGAATATTTTAAATCTGTATGACCACCTTGAGGGTTTGATTAACCCTATTTTACATGAGGAGACTTGAGATATCTGCTGCAATTTTATAGTGAAGTCGTGGAAGGCTCACAGAATTTTAGAAATTACCTCTTTTCTTCAACAGATGAGGAAACCAAGACCTGGAAAGATTAAATGACATAGCCAAGATCACTCAGCTGCAGAACCAAACTAGACCCCAGGTTTTCAGATTTCCAGGGAGGGACTTGAATGTGTAACTAGGACTCCAATAATGTGGGCTAGGTGTAAGATCGCTGGATCCTTGCATATAAATAGTGAGGGCTCCCCTTCCCTTAGCTCTGACTGGAGAGGAATTTAATACCACAGCCCTGCTAGAAACAACTGTCAAGAAGCAGCTGTCAAATTCTGGCCGGCCTTTCTGGGGCACTGCAGTCCTTTGCGAGGCTGGTCATAAGACAGGCATATCTGATATCAGATGCCATCCTTTCTTTCTCCTAGAATGCTCGTTATATGGCCTCCATTGTCTGTGGTTAATATGGTAATCTGTTTCCAGTGGAGTTGCTAGTGGCTTTCTATGTCCTGGGCCTAGAAGTTATTTTAGTCTAGGGTGATGCCCCTGGGATTTATGCAAGGCATTCAGGAGGTTTGGTAGGTGGAAATCTTAAAAGCAGAGTGGAAAGCTTGATGTTGTCATAGGAATTCCATTTCCCAGAAGGCTCTTGGGTAGGATGGTCAGTTAGATGAAAAACCTTTAAGCTCCAGATATTTATGTGTTTTGACTGTGTTTCCGCTGCCTATCATTATGATACCCCGATACTGAAAGAGGTGTGAAAAATTGAAAGAACCCTGCCCACAGACTAAACTCCAGAATTGCGATTTTCTCTACGGCTATGGTGATTGGATTCACGTTTTTTTCTTTAAGGTTTTTATTTATTCATTTGAGAGAGACAGAGAGAGGGAGAGCACATGTGCAGGAGCGAAGTGGGGAGGCAGAGAGAGAGAAGCAGACTCCCTGCTAATCAGGGAGTCTGATGCAGGCTGATCCCAGAACCGGGAGATCAGGACCTGAGCCGAAGGCAGACATTTAACAGACTGAGTCACCCAGGCACCCCCGCATTCACTGCTTTTAGTTAACCAGAATACAGGGCTCAGCACAACTTTAAGACAAACTCTTGGTGACAGACTGTGCTTTCTCCTCTAGGGAGCCTTTAGGAGAATGGCCTGATCTGGGATTGGCCCTGGTCGTGCTGACACATGGAGTTCACCTATTCTGAACTGAGCTGTGCTCAGAACATAGTCCTATAGGTCAGTCTCAAGTGCAATCAGTCTCCTTGGACAGAGAATGTCTTGGTACCTAGTCAAACTGGAACCAAATCTTGGGATCACTTCTGTGAGGAACCAACAACCTCAGATTTCCCACAGCCAGGATCTTCTGGATAACTCAGATCTGAGAAGAGAAGGACGGTGACCAAGCTGGCCTTCCAAACGCATGAAGGACTTTCTCTGGTCCCTGCCCTAAAATAAATGCCCCCATCAACATGTAAACATGTATTCTATTTCTTTCTCTCTTTTTTTTTAAAGATTTTATTTATTTGACAGAGAGAGACACAGCGAGAGAGGGAACACAAGCAAGGGGAGTGGGAGAGGGAGAAGCAGGCTTCCCGCGGAGCAGGGAGCCCGATGCATGGCTCGATCCCAGGACCCTGGGATCATGACCTGAGCCGAAGGCAGACGCTTAACGACTGAACCACCCAGGCACCCCACATGTATTCTATTTCTTAGTGTGAGCCCTCCTGAAGGCTCTCCGGTCAGCTCCTGCCGTCAGGTTAAGACCTCTGTGGTGAAGCAACAACAAAGTGCTGCCACAGTGCGGGTGTGAAGGGCCAGGGGCTGCTGGCCTGGTGCTCAGAGTATGACTGAACTCAAGGGCTTTGCCGTTTGGTGTGCATTAAATTGAACACAACCCAAGTACGTTGAAAACAAAGACCTTTTTATTACTTGTCACAAGTAAGGACGGGAAGATAGCTCTCAAAGTAGTCTTCCTGTGGGGTTAGTACAAGAAGCTTTAACTCAGTGTATTGGGGGGCAGGAGCAGGGAACTTGTATATATATTAAGAAACTTAGAGATATTCTATGCTTAGGCACTTTGGTTCAACTGAGCATGCCTAGCATGTCAACATGCTAGTGCATATATTGTATGTTCAAAAATGGCAGAAAACTCAGCCCATGGGAGGAGATCTTAGTATTATAATGAGCTAAAGTTAACTTTAGGACAACTCTGGGGGTGCTTCTTTGGCAGGTCCTCAGCTCCAAACTAGCCTAAACTGGCTCACAGAAGAGGCTATCTGGTGAACCGCCTGGCTGGGGAGTCTCCTTGGCTGGCTGCTGGTTCTGCAAGACAAAACACATTGCTTCCCAGCTTTTGTTCCTTCATTCTCTTCCCTTCTGCTGATGGCTTTCAGCCCTCAGATCTGAGTAACTCCCCTTTGTGTCCTAGCCAACAAGAGGATGGGATTTGTGTCCCTGAAGTAGAGGACTTGACGTGGCCCAGTGCTTCTCAGGTGAAGAGCTGATCTGAGGAACATTCTGAAGTGGTCTGCAGCATTAGAATCGAGGTATGTTCTTGTATTAACTTGGTTTCATCCTATTTTATATGCCACAGCTTATAAGCTTTTACAATACTAGAAAGTAAACATTTTAAAGCTGTTAGATATTGTAGAGATATGGCTCAACTTTTTTTTTTAATAGTTTGAAACTTATAGGAAAGTGGAAAATACAGCATAAAGAGTTCCTATATACCCTTCACCCAGTTTCTTCAATTGTAACATTTAAACTCATTTTGCCTTTTTCTGTTTTGTCTCCTTCTCATACATACATACATTTTCTGAGCCATTTGAGAATACGTTAGAGATATGATGGCGCATTACCCTTTAATACCTTAGTATTTCCTAAAAGCAAGGAAATTCTTCTATATAATTATAGTATAACCCTCAAAATTAGGAAAATTACCATGTAATCAAAAGATCCCATTCAAATTTTGCCAGCTGTTCCAATCATTCCCTTTTAGGCCCAGATTCCAGCCCAGGATCACACACACATTTGTTTTCATGTCTCTTTTGTACCCTCTTCAATCTAGAACATTTCCTCAGACCTGTTTTTCATGGCCTTTACATTTTGAAGAGTATAGGATGTCCCTCGATTTCAGTTTATAACTTTTACGTAAATGAAATCACTCAAACATTTAACGAAAATGTTCCTTCTATGTTGATGTATATATTGTTATTTTAATAATTGTATAGTATTCTGCGTATGAAAGGGCTATATTTAACCAGCCCCCTGTTAAAGAACACAGCTTATTCCTAGTTTTCCACAGTGTAAATAAATCACACTGCAATTAGTAGCTCTGAGCAATTTATCTGATTTCTCTGAAGTGGAATTGCTGGGTTAGAGTATGCAGATTTAAAATTTTGACACTATTGCCAGATACTCATCCTGAGAGATTATACTTATTTATAACTCCACCAATGATGCACGAGAATGACTTCCCACATGCACGAGAATGTCCCCACACCAACATCAGCATTGGACATTTTCACTTTTTCATCTTGGCCAGTCAGGCAAAAAATAATAATAATAATGTCTTTGATTATTAATGAGGCTGAGCACCCTTCATGCTTGTTTTGTCTGTCTTGCTTTATTTTACAAATGACTTTTGCCTGTTTTTCTGTTGGGCAGTTTCTGATTTTAAACTACTTTGTCAACTCATTCTTTGGCATTTAAGCCTTAAGTAGAGACACATCATGCATTTGAGAGCTTTGTTTCAATCTCTGTGGAAATTATTCTAATTATTACATGAAATCCAGTTTCCTGAGTAACATGTCAAGAATTAGCCACAACAGGGTAACCGAACACCTACAGGTCAACTCGGCCCCACACAGCGCTCTGGGGCACAGCTGCCGGAACAGGGGATGGGGGAGGGGGAGAAGCAGTAAAGGGCAGAGAACAATTGACACCCAGACTATACTTCTCTCCACTCAGTGTCTCTAGGTGAACGTTTCAGTATCATTCTGGGTCAAGGTAGAGCAGTTTCCCACAATTTACTAGTTTTTATTCATTCCTTCCCCCCAAAATACTTCACATGGAAGAATAAATGCAATAGATGTTCATCTAAAGATAGGTCTTAATTATTCAACTTCAAATGCTATTAAAAGCCATCACTTATATTAGGTAAAAGCACCCCATTTTCAGGTTCTTACTGTAGGTTGCTAAGGTAAGTCTGAAGCTGGGAAATACTGCTTCAGCTAATGTCACCTTCCTTTCTCCTGAACTGCACAACTTACAGAAATAGCAAAGAATCTGCAAATGTTTGTATGAGCCTACAAACGGTGCAAAGCCCAAATCTCAACTGATAAATGAAACGTGTCCACGAGGAAATGCACAATGTCTACTACGTCTAGAGGGAAGAGTCCTGTCAAAAAAGTAAATCAGAAACAAATATATTCAATTCTCATTTTTTTAATATTTTATTTATTTATTTGACAGAGAGAGAGAGAGCAGGAACACAAGCAGGGGGAGTGGGAGAGGGAGAAGCAGGCTTCCTGCCGAGCAGGGAGCCTGATGTGGGGCTCGATCCCAGGACCCTGGGATCATGACCTGAGCTGAAGGCAGACGCTCAACAGCTGAGCCACCCAGGCGCCCCAATTCTCATTTTTTAATCAACCAAATCCATCAGTTAACCACTTATAGCACAGTTGGTGAAAGCCAAGGATGACGCTGCTCTGGCCAACAGAAGACAAATATAACGTGCTCTTAAGGAACATGCACTCTAGCCAGGGAACAAGACAGACAAGATTAAAACATTAAGGGCCCATCCCTGAGAATGAGAAGTAGAACACACATTATAAGTGCAGCAACATTTCAGAGATGGGCAAAATCACTGCTCACGGGTACAGGGGCTTGGGGTCGTTAGGGTAGTTAGAAAGGCTTAATGGAACAGTGGCATTTGAGTCGGGCCTGAAGGGATGGTAAAACTTGCATTTGGGGGGGAAGGTGGTGGGTATGGCGGCCCAGGGACCACGAGGCACAGAAGTGGCAGTTGGCAAGTTGCTCAGTGAAGGACACGTGAAAATGTGCATTGGTTTAGGAGCGCTGGGGACACAAGGCTGCCCCCACAGATGCTGTGGCCAGCGGGGGGTCACTGGCGGCTCCTGAGGGACTGGTGTGTTGTAATGTTCTAGCCCATGCCAAGCCATATCGGAGCCTGAGGGAAAAGGAAACCTCAGTAAAACCGATCCTGTCTTTATTTAAAATTTTGATATTTTGTGCATTATTTTTTGCATTAATTTTGATTTTTAAAAAATACTGCATTAAAATATCATTTATTTTGATGATTGCATTTTTTTCGTATCCCCTTAAATTTTTTGCTCAAGGCAAGTATGCTTACCTCACCCTCCTCCCAGCCCTGTGTTCTATTTCTGAAGATCAGGAGTGGGGAAATGGGTATTCATTTTATTATTATAAGCTACAGCTTACTCATGTTACAAATATTCTGTGGCTAGTAAACAGTATTTAATAAAAACAATTAAGATAAATTAGGATTTTAAGATTAATTAGGAACTTTGAAGCCCAAAAAGTATGACAGGGAAAAGAATTCTCTTTTGCTTCTGAGCCAGTCTTTAGGGGTGAGTAACTCTCTGTTGCTGCGGTGTATGCAGTACAAGCAGAAAAGGGTTGTTTTGCCCACGTCTAAGTGGGTGAAAGGTAACTGGGGGGGTTACCAGAGGCTGCTGTCCACTTGGAGACAGGCCTCGAGTAACTCAGCTGCTGTAGCCGGCCTGACTCTGCTGCGTGGCCTGAGGCAAGCTTCCACAAATGGGCCACACAAGGTGCGTTTGGCCCATATCTCACATAAACAGACCCATCCAGGGGCGCCTGGCTGGCTCAGTTGGTAGAGCACGTGACTCTTGATCTCAAGGGTGTGGTTCAAGCCCCCATTGGGGGTAGAGTCTCCTAAAAACAACAACAAACAAACCAACCCATGCAGCTATGCTCAAAGAGAAGCTACTCACTGGGCTACAGGGTTTACCACAGCACCACTGTCCAAGAAGCAGTGGAAGATTAATGAACTCTATAAATGTCACAGGGCTACTTGCATCTAGGAGAAGAAGTGGTGTTTGACACAAAGAGTATGACTAGTACCTCTAAAAATGTAAAACCTGAAGTCTATTTTCATTAGTAAGCTGGTGATCAATGAAGGATACTTTTTAGCCAGAGAAGTCAATTAGCATGCAGCACAGATCTCAGAAGAGGCCAAGGGCAAGGCTGAAAGGTGCAGGCTGCTTCCCGCACTCGCCCCGGGTGCACTGCACCATCATCGGACGTGGACCTCCCAGTCAGCGCTGATGTTCAGGGACAGCTTTTCCAGTCGCAGGGTGGACATTTGGGCACAATATGTAAAAGCCACAGGCTCATCTTTACCATCTAAATATCAAGACAAGAACAGGAAAAATTTGATGAATATCTAGGAGAGAAAACTCTTTCCTTTGAATCTAAAATATTTCTGACTCGATCATAAAACCTGATACCCCACCTGGGAGAATCCAATTTAATAGCACTTTTACCCATGGATGTCCATGAATTTTTTAAACATTAAACACTCCATCATTTTGAGTGCAAGATTAGTTGAAACGAAATTGTAAGGAGTAAAGTGATTTATCCAAGAAATTCAGTAGATGAGAAAGGATATAGCTCTTTAAGAAACTCCATAAACATGGGTAGGATTCTCTGGGGCTTCAGCTATCTACAGTCAAAAATACATTCAGAGAAGCTACAGTATTATTTCAAGCCCCAAATAATTTTCCTTAGAAAAATATCAACAACGTACAGTTGGCAGAAAGCCCAGTTGATGAGGAAAAGCAGGATGGCCTTGCTCCCCCAGATACCAATATATTTGACCTCCATCAGAAAGTGCAGGGTCCACTTGGCTAAGCATGCTACATCAGTTTTAGGACTAATCATTTCTTTGCTGCAGATACTTCCACGTTTACAAAAACAAATGACCTGTTTCCTTACCAGATGAACGGGTGGTCACAGAAGATGGCTGCTTCTTGAGGCCTAGGACAAAGATCTGCTCCACCACACACTTGCTGGGATAATGACCTCTTTCGTCGGCACAACTAGAATAGATAAAAATGGTATTAGGAAAATGAGAGGAATAGGGGTTTGGGCTGGTTATTAGGTCAACATCCTAGCCTTGGGAGTTCCCCTCCCGTCTTTCCCTATGGAGGCATGAAGCATACGGTTGTCATGTTTACTAGGATGAAGAGATGGAAATGATGATTCCCTGTGCCAAGGACTGCCTAACCAGTAGACAAACCAGAATCCATTTAACAAGCCATTTGGAGAGAAATCACCTAAGGACACTGAAGTCTCAAATGTGACTTGGACACTGCAATCAGATTTTAAGAAATCAGATACTTAATGAATTGCTGAATGGGCAGATAAATGGGATTAATCAGAACTTAAGCTGAATTATTTTTTATTTTTTAGAGAGTAAAGAACAGGAAGATGTAGACAGTAAGGAAGGAAGGTTCACAGAGTGATTGAAAAATACTTCAGAGAAACTCCAGACCAAGATGGCAACATAAGAGGCCCCTGAATTTCCTTCCTCCCACAGATGCACCAAATGTAAAGCTGTGGAGCAATTCCTTCTTAGTGATACAGAAACTAGCTGAGTGACTCTTATACGTCAGGTGACTGAGGAAACAGCCACATCAAATCAGGTAGGAAAGGCTGAAACACACTCACCGTGACCGCCACCCTGGGGACAGTGCCGTACAATTAGGAGGGGAACTCCCAACTTCTCCCTGAAGAGTGAAAGGTTTGGACCACACTCCTACTGCCCCAGTGTTAAGGCCCCCACCTGAGGTATGGGCCCCCAAATCACCTATCAATAATTACTTTAAGTAATTTGAACTAAATCCTCCAATCAATAGAGACAGAGTTGCTGAGTGGTTAAAAAGTCAAGACCCAACTATATGCTGCCTATAAGAGACCCACTTCAGCTTTAAGGATACATACAGACTGAAAGTGAAGGGATGGAAAATGATATTCCATGCAAATGGAGACCAAAAAAAAGCAGGGGTAGCTAATATTTATATCAGACAAAACAGACTTTATGCCAGAAACTGTAATGAGAGACAACAAAGATAGTTATATAATGGGTCAATTCACTAAGAGGTTATATAACATTTGTAAATATTTATGCACCCAATATCAGAGCACCTAAATATATAAAGCAAATATTAGCAGATCTAAAGGTTGAAATAGACGGCAACACAGTAATAGCAGGGGACTTACATACCCCATTTTCAACAATGGATAGATCATCCAAACAGAAAATCGGTAAGGAAAATGTGAACTTAAACTACATGTTAGACCAGATAAACTTAATAGATATATATAGAACATTCCATTCAACAGCAGAAAAATACATATCGTTCTCAAGCACATATGGAACTTTCTCTAGGGCAGACCATACATTAGACTAAAAACAAGTCTTACCAAATTTAAAAAGACTGAAATTATATTAAGCATCTTTTGTGACCATAATGGTAGGTGAGTAGATATCAATTACAAGAAGAAAACTGGAAAATTCACAAATATATGGAGATTAAATAACATGCCCCTAAATAACCAATGGGTCAAACAAAAAATTAAAAGGGAAATAAAATATCTTAGATTAAAATGGAAACATAATATACCAAAATTTACGGGATGCAGCGAAAGCAATTCTAAGAGGGGAGTTTATAGCAATAAGTACCTGTATTAAGAAAAAGAAAAATCTTAAATAAATAATCTACCTTTACACCTCGAGGAACTATAAAATGAAGAACAAACTAAGACCAAAGTTAGGAGGAGGAAGGAAATAACAAAGATCAGAGTGAAAATAAATGGAACAGAGGCTAAAAAGATCAGTAGGAAAGATCAATGAAACTAAGAGCTAGTTTAAAAAAAAATAGACAAATCTTTAGCTAGACTCACCAACAAAAAAAGAGAGAGGACTCAAATAAAGTCAGAAACGTATCACTGTATGTTTACTATACTGGGATTTAAATAAATCAGAAATGAAAGAGGAGATGTTATATTTGATACCTCAGAAATACTAAGGATCATAGGAAACTACTATGAACAATTACACACTAATATATTGGATAAAATAGAAGAAATGGAAAAATTCCTAGAACATACAACCTACCAATGCTGAATCATGAAGAAACAGAAAATCTGAATAGACCAATTACTAGTAAGGATACTGAATCTGTAAACAAAAAACTGCCAACAAAGAAAAGTCCAGGACCAGATGGCTTCACGGTTGAATTCTATCAAACATTTAAAGAGTATCAATCCTTTTCAAATTCTTCCAAAAAATGGAACCCTTCCAAATTCATTTTATGAGGGCAGCATTATCCTGATACTAAAGCTAGCAAGGACAATACAAGAAAAGAAAATTACAGGCCAATAACCTTGAGGAACACAGATGTAGAATTCGTCAACAAAGGGCCACACACCATGATCAAGTGGGATTTATTTCTGGGATACAGAGATGTGTCAACATAGGCAAATCAATAAATGTGATACATCACATTAACAAAAAAGGATAAAAATAATACGATTATTTCAGTAGGTATAGGAAAAGCATTTGACAAAATTCAACATCCTTTCATGATAAAAACTCAAAAAATTGGGTATAGAAAGAATGTACCTCAGGGCGCCTGGATGGCTCAGTGGGTAAAGTGTCCAACTCTTGATTTTGGCTCAGGTCATGATCTCGGGGTCATGAGATGGAGCCCCATATCAGGCTCCATGCTGAGTGTGGAGCCCACTTAAGATTCTCTCTCTCCCTCTCCCTCTGCCCCTTCCCACTCCAATGCTCGTGCTCTCTCAAAAAAAAAAAAAAAGAAAGAAAGAATGTACCACAACTTAATAAAAGCTGTCTATGACAAGCCCACAGCTAACATACTCAATGGGGAAAAGCTGAATCAAGATCAGAAACAAGAAAAGGATGCACACTTCTCACCATTTTTGTTTAACATAGTACTGGAAATCTTAGCCAGAGCAATTAGGCAAGAAAAAGAAATAAAAGGCATCTAAATTGGAAAGGAAGAAATAAAATTGTTTGTATTTGCAAATGGAAATAGGGAGAGGCTGGTAAAAGGGTACAAACTTTCTGTTATAAGATGAATAAGGTCTGAGTATCTAATGTATAAGATGATGACCATAGTTGACAATACTATGTTGTATACCTGAGATTTGTCAACAGAGTAGAACTTTAATGTTCTCACACACACACAAAAGTAAATATGGAGGTGATGGATGAGTTAATTAACTTGATGGTGGGAATCCTTTTACAGTATATACATATAGTGACTCACCATGTTGTATACTTTAAATACATTAGAATTTTGCTTGTCAATTATTTAGTGAAGCTGAAAAAAATACTCCATAAATGACCATCAATAATTTCTTTAAGTAGTACCTTAAAAAAATAGCTGTGTTTTTGAGGATCGCATATTTAAGAAAGCACACAGCTTTTTACCTGTTGATCAAAACATCTGACAAGAATGAAAACTTCCTGTGCAAGAACTGCTTCTGGTGGAGGTATCGGAATGAATGGCCGTCGTCGAGATAGAATTCACCCATGGCAGAATCCTGGAGAGTGAAACATAGACAGAGAATGTGCTTATATAATAGCTTACTAGGAAAAGAATGTCACCCCCTAAAGGGACTAAAAAATTTGTGAAGGATTTTATTAAACAAAAACTTAATATTCAAGCTGTACAATGTAGTCATATAAATATATACATTCAATACCCATTAGTGAAATAATATGAATAAGGAAGTCACATAAGAGGAGCTCAAGAGTTAGATCTTGTTGAAAAAAATTTAAACTACAAAATATGGGCAGTGGCATAGGTGGCTTCTTTGAAAAAAGTTCACAGAATGAAACTAAAGCTAAAAAAATTTAGTATATAATGGATGAGATGAGCTATCTTTAGAAGCCCTCCACTTAAAGGATAGCATCTAGTTCCTATTTCCTTTCAGGAGGAGGACCCCTCTGGCATGTCAAACAAAGTCACAGCACTCCAACGGCCGTTTACTGTTCATTGACAATGCCTGATGTGCTATATGGATCTTGAGTCTCTTGTATTTATTCTGTGGTCTGAGGCTCGTAATTTGGCCCAATAAGAATGTCTAAGTGAAACAGATGGGAAAGCAAGCTTAATTATTTTATATTTGTCTAAGAGTATGAATTTGTGTTCAGTCCTGTAGAAGAGGAAGAGTTTGTGTTGGTACTATAGGTGGGCAAATGGATAAGGAAGGAGTCTGCTATAGGTCTCATTTGGCTCAAAAGATCTTCTAAAAAGGACATACAAATTCTGGATCCTTCTGAGCTTTACCCCAGATCTTAGTTGTTTGAGCCATCTGATGAGAACAGAAGTCATTGTGTGGGGCTGGTGTTCCTGAAATGTTGCATAGATATAGGCACCTCTCTATAGGAGACTGAGTTTTAGGGCTAATCCATGTGGCAGGCTGACTAGGCCCAATGGTCAATTAGTCCAGTGGTAATCAATGCCAAGCTGCAGAGCACCAAGGATCACAGTGCCCCAGAAGAAATTTTTATCATTTCTAGTTCTTAGAGTTCTCTTCAGAACAATTCCAGGAAAGGTAGGTAAGCTGGACAATGATTCAGAAACGATTCAAAACTTTGATTTCTAGAAAAACATCAGAAGCACCCATCCCATCACTGGGGCTTATCATTTTTACATAGTGTCACATACTCAAAAGGCCACTACTCCTGTAAAGAGATAAAGTAGTAACGAATGAGATGTGTAAAGGTAACATTTTCCAAATACCTTAGTGCTTAGAGCCACCCGGAGTCCATATGGGGAATCAGTCATGTAGCCTGTGGATTTTCCTACAGTCGTCTTTATTGGTACTATACTCCCACCTCGCTGAAATGACGGTATCTATAACAGAACAATACGCTCAGGGAAGGAGTATTCATAGAAAGCAATTTCAATGTAGAATCTAAAAATATTTCGTTGTACAAGATTCCCATTCTTTACAAGTAGACTCAGAGGTGAAAGAAATTTGTGAGCACACAGATGGAAAATATGGAAGCCATGGCATTAAAAGGAAAAGAGTCCCAAGACTAAAAAGTGGTCCATTTTTTAATTATCAGGGAAACTTCTCACCCTTCATCAATTTGTTATCTATTCTGCCTATCCTATCAGTAGTTCCTATTTTGTATTTTTAACTTTCTTGCCAACATAATACACGTGTTTATTTCTAGGGCCCTGCTAAGGAGTGAGTTTTTGTGCCTGTGTAAGTAGGCCCACATGTATGTATGTGTGCATATGAAATATTATAGTTTCTTGGTTTCAGGGAGATGATTCTGTCCTTACTACAGTCTACACTCTTCCTGCTCCCTGCTTCCCTGAATTACCAGGATGATGGACTCAATTCTGAGAGTAAGTTTGTGAAACTTCTGTTGTAGAGGCTGCCAAAGACACTTGAAGTGACTCTAACCACAGTGTTATAAGCATGGCCCATACCTATGGTTCTGGAATGGCATTCCCAGCAAAGAAAGCCCAGGAAATTTCCTGCGTCCCCATACAATCCTCTGTAAGGAAGCTCTTTGGATCATATGGGGGCTTGTATTTCGCTCTGAGTACAAGAGGGAAAAAAGTACAAGAATATAAGTGAAGTTGGGAGTGACGGAGTAGTTAAGATGTCCACCCTCTAACTCACATTTGGTAGCAAGAAGTAAAGCACATTTATCTCCCCCTCATCAACCAATCACTTCTTCTTTTCCTTTTTCCCCAAAGACCGAGGTAGTAAGTTAGTAAAGAATGGGCTCTGAAGTGGGAGTGCAGCTGACCTGGGGTCTTATCTCAGTTCTGCCACAATCTAGCCACAGCCCTGGACAAGTAATTTAACTTCTCTGAACTCAGTTTCTTCACCTGTAAGCACGAGGGATTGGAGTAGATGAATGTTAAGGTCTCTTTTAGATCTGAAAGTTGACATCTGAAATCGTTTCATTATGGAGTTCATACTACTAACAGCTTTTAAAAAATAACGGCAATATATCTGTATTAATCCTAACACTACTTAGGGTCTGAAGTAGTGGTTGTGATTTAGCGGCAAGAGCAAACTTCCCTTCACAAGTTCAGTCTGAATGGGTCCCCTTGACTCTACCATCGTAACTGACAGCCTTCCCTTGGGCCTAGAGGGCCAGGGTTACAACTGAAAACTCATGTTTTGTGACTTGGTCCTGTAGGAGGACATTCTGTATGGTGTGTGTGGTGACTGCCATTTTTACTCCATTTTCAGGGTTATTATTTTTCTTAGGCGTACAAATGGAAATATATGAGGAAGAGCTGTTTGTCCTTGATGTTTCATACTGTGAAATCAGGCTATATGTTGATACTTTTATCTCACGTTTTCACGGCTTTATTGGTATAATTCACATGCCATACAACTCACCCATTTAAGGTGTACAATTAAATGTTTTTAATTAGAACACTAATGTCCTTGGTTCCTTCTATGTAGGCATATGGTATGGACTGAATGTGTCCCCCTAAAATTCGTATATTGAGCCCCAACCACCAATGTGACTGTATTTGGAGACAGGGCCTTGAATGAGGTAATTAAGGTTAAATGAGGTCAGAAAGTGGGGCCTTAACTGATAGGATTAGTGTCTATAAGAAGAGACATTAAGAGAGCTCACTCTCTCCCTCTGCCACGTGAGGACACAGACAGAAGGTGGCTGCTTACATGTCAGGAAGAGAGTCCTCACTAGCAAGTAAATTGTTGGCACCTTCCTCTGGGACATCTAGAACTGTGAGAAAATAAACTGGTTGGTTAAGCCACCGTGTCTGTGGTATTTTATGGTGGCAGCCCAAGCAGACAGATATAACACAACAGGTAAAAATAACAGCCTGAAAATGACTTACGGTGTCTAAGGCTACTGGGATCTTCACAGTACGTGCCCCTTCCCAACGAGCAAATGTTTTACAGTCATACCAGACCTGGAAAGGAACAGACCCTAATGAAAAAGAGTTTATGAGCAAGTCTGCTCACGATCCCATTATTCAGTAAAGCATTCATTTATCTGGATTTCAAATAACCAGAAGGCTAAAATAAGTATAATTAAAAAAAAAAAATCTTAAGTAGAAGTTAGCAAGAACATATGTTTTTAAGAAGACCCCAAAAGGACTAACCTAGTACTGTGATGGAAGTTCACTAAAAGGCCATTCATTTGTCCATCTGTCCATCCAAGTTATTTACCCAACAACCTACCACATGCCCAGCACTGCTAGGCACGCATGAGTGAACAGAAAGACAGAGTTCCTGCCCTCATGGATTTTATAGTCTGGTTGTCTTAGAAACTTAATGTGTTTATAGTAAAAAAGATGATGGAAGAAAGAAAAAGCAGTAACAAGGAAGAAAAGCACATTGTGAGCAAATCAATTACAAATGAGGCAGGAGAAAAGGGAAGTGTCAGAGAAGGACACAGATCCAGGAGAAAGACAAATGGAAACTGGGATCGCTACTATAGTATCATTTTTTAGCAGAGTACAATTCAGGGATGAGGTTCAAATTCTTAATCTGGGATCCTGGTCAAGGCAGTTTAGTTGCTGAAGTACCAAGAAGGTCCTACAGAGTAATTTGATAGGACATATCCTTAAGACATCACCAGCAGCAGCAGCAGCATGGAAACAAAAACCTCTTTTTCTCTCTTTTAGCCCAGTATGATTTCTGGCAGCCACAGTCTATTTCACACGCCACCTCCTGGGATTACCACATCCTTTGTAGAGCTGCCCTGTCCTGTGGTGAAGGTGAGACGGCTGTGGCCTGACCATGGTCAGTTCCAGTAAACTCTCAATTCAACAGGATCAACCCCACATTGTCTCCATGTATTATCTTTGGCTGGATCCAATTTGCTAATGTTTTGTCAAGGATTTCTGTGTCTGTGTTTATGGGAGATATTGTCTTAGCTTTCTTTGACAAATTCCAGTAGCTTCAGCTAGAGTAGTGGGAGTGAAAGGTAAAAAAATAAAACAAAAAAATGGACTTAAATAAGATTTTGGGATTACCTGTCTACCATTTCCAGAACTAATTAGAATAAGAGGTATATGTATAGGGTGTGTACTCTGGTGCTATCCACAAAGGTCCCCAGCCTTGCAAGAGTAAAACTGGTATAAACTACTATGTAGATCACACCTAGTGCTCAGTCACCAAGCTCCTCAGCAAGTATTTACTGAAGGCCTACTACCTGTCAGGTACCCTTCTAGATGCTAGGGATAGAGAGTGAACATAACAGAGGAAAATCACTGCCCTTAAGAAGCTAACATTCTAATGGGAGAGAAAGATCATCAACAAAACATATCAGTAAATATCTAGAATGTTAAAGGTGTCAGGTTCTGTGGGAAAAATGAAGGATGAAGGGGGGCTGGACAGTACCGGGGCAGTGGGAATGGTCTGTAATCTTAACTAGGTGGTCAGAGAAGGCCTCACTGAGAAAAAGCTATTTAAGCAAAGACTTCAAATAGAGGGAATGGGCCATCTAGAAATATGGGGAAGAGTGACAACAAGGGACTGTTGTCCCTTGCACAGTGTGATGTGGGACTAGCTAACTGGTGAGGTAAAAATCTGGCAAGAAATGGCGTGGCTCATCTACCTAGGGTTTTGAAGATGTAGTGAGAGAAACAATCACAGAACACTCAGGGGAATAGTGTTGAAGGAATATGTTATACAGTAATTGCAGTGTGCTTGCAATGATGATAGGTCATTAATAAAATGTTTTTATTAAACAATTAATTAAAAATTAATTTGTGGCTACGTCAGAAGGGGAGCTAGTTTCTCTTAATGGGAGCCTACTGCTTTGTTAAAATCGACTTGAGAAACTCTCAGGGAAGTGCTTGGCAGGACAATTTATTTAGCTGTTGTTGTATTTAACCTTTTTCTAGGTTTTTACTTGGCGGGGGAACCTTTATAAAGAGCCCACATCTTCAGAACTACAAATTACTGGAGAAACGAAGAGGAAAGAACATAATTGATGAACATTCTGGAGAAAAGCCTGGGTACTGTCATATCAATAAAGACAAGCGTAGTGGGCTGAAGTGGCCCCTCAAAAAGTTATATGCACTTCCTAATACTGGGAAGGAGTGAATATTACTTTCTATGGTAACAAATTTGATTAAATGAAGGATCTTGAGATTAGAAGATTATCTGGGATCATCCAGGTGGGTCCTCAACGTCATCACATCACCCACAAGAGAAACAGAAGAGGAGACACAGATGCACAGAGAAGAAGATGCATGAAGACGGAGGCATACATTGGAGTGATGTGATGTGGCTGCAGAGCCAGGAACCACAAGGACCGTGGCAGCCACCAGGAGCCAGGAGAGAGGCATGGAAGAGATTCTCCTTCAGGACTGCCAGAAGGAACCAAGCCTGCCGACACCCTGATTTGGGGCTTCGAGCCTCCAGAACTGGGAAAGGATACATTTGTGTTGTTTTAAGCCACCCGGTTTGTGGTAAGTTGTGACAGTGGCCTCAGGAAACTAGCCCAACAAGCAAACACACAAAACTGGATGGACAGAGACCACTGGTACCGATGTACCACGGTATTGCCACGCCAGCACTTGACAGTCCTAAGCAGCGAGCATGGCCGGGCTCAGTGACCTCACCACCTGCCTAGACAGTCCAGGAATATATATATATATATATATATATATATATATATTTTTTTTTAATTTAAACTTTAGTTAACGTATAGTGTAATATTGGTTTCAGGGGTAGAACTTAGTGATTCTCCACTTACATACAACACCCAGTGCTCATCACAGCAAGTGCCCTCCTTAATGCCCATCCTCCATCTAGCCCATCCCCCACCCACGTCCCTCCATGACCCCTCAGTTTGTTCTCTGTAGTTAAGTCTCTCATGGTTTGCTTCCCTCTCCCTCTTTTCCCCATCCCATATGTTCCTCTGTTTTATTTCTTAAATTCCACATATGAGTGAAATCATTTGCTATTTGTCTTTCTCTGACTGCCTTATTTCGCTTAGCATAATACACTATAGTTCCATCCACGTCATTGAAAAATGTCAAGATTTCAATTTTTTGATGGCTGAGTAATATTCCATTGTATATATATACCACATCTTCTTTATCTATTCATCTGCCAATGGACACCTGGGCTCTTTCCATAGGGTGGCTATCATGGACATTGCTACTATAAACATCGGGGTGCATGTGCCCCTTCAAATCACTACGTTTGTATCCTTTGGATAAATACCTAATAGTGCAGTAGGTGGGTCATAGGGTTGTTCTATTTTTAACTTTTTGAGGAACCTCCATACTGTTTTCCAGAGTCAGTCCAGGAATATCTTGACATGGAGGTCTCACATCAGTTTGGTAACCTTCATGCCTCCTCCCCCTGCCTATAGAAGCCTGTGGTGATGCTCCAGTGCTCAAGGACTCTCTCTAGGATCTGTCTCCTCCTTGCTCCCCATTCCATACCCTCTTTTCCTGGTCTGGTGCCCCAAGTTTCTGCCCTGCCTCTTCTCCTGGCCCCTCTGCATATATCCTTGGTCTGTCCCTGGAGGCTATTGCTGTTATTCTCCATGGCCCTCTGCTCTGCAGCCCAGGGGCTAATCCTACCTCTTCCTTGGGCCCTGCCTGGGTTCAATGCCCTGGGCTCCAGTAGTGCAGGATGATATTTTATACTGTGATAATAATCAGTGACAATAACCAATAAAAGAGCTGGGAGGCTAGAGTTGCTTGAAGGAAAGTCACCACTGTTACTTTTTACCCACTTTGGTGAGTGTCTGGAGACCAGGTTTTGGTACCAAAAACTTAGAATTTAGATAGAGCCAGAAACAAAAAGCAAAGTCTTTTTTACTTATGGTTCCCCCCAGTGACTGATACTTCTTAGCAGACTAAAAATATCTTTCTGTATTTACGAGGAGTCACTTACACAAGTCCAAGTGTGAAGGTAAAGAACCATGCTGACCTTCCTTGGTGTTCTCACCTATTCATCAATTTCTCCCCACTCTTCCATTGAGGTCATGACCTACAAGAATCTTCAGTTGCTACAGGCATTTGGGCTGTCTTCACAACGGCATGATGCAGAAATCTATTTCCCAACAGGGGCTAATTCATCAGAATGAAGGGAGGAGATAGGAGACATGCAAGATACGTGGCTGTTTGTCATATATTCTTACCTCATTTGATCCTGGCAGAAACACATCAACTGTGCTGGCTTTTGGTTCTGTGACTGGATGAACCAATAAAGCACTTCCTGAAAAACAGAAAAGAAATAAAGCTATCATCCCAAGAGGTCTGAAAACATCCTTCTCCTTTCAGAGCTTCTGTGGTTTTAGAGACCACTCAACCATGAACTTGGCCAAAGTAGAGACCTTGGGTAGTTGAACCAGTGATTCATCAGAGAAACGCATTATTACAAAGAGGTCTGGTGCTCAAAACGGTGACTGTTTTATTACTTGTCATTCATCCACTTATGGCATGTAAGGATAATAGGGAGGGACCCCGCCACAGTCTATCAGTTTCATTTGCACATAGCCGCTAGTGCGCCGGGAGTCTGAAAGAGCCATCGCATTTCTCCAGGTGCGTCATTGCCTGCTGTTAGTGATTTTGAAAACGGTGAGCCTACAACTCTTATCCAGAAGTGTGATCAGCATGGATAGGAGTATATCCACAGGCAGGTATCATTAGGAAGGCTGTAATTCTCTTAATTTTGACTGTGGCACCACATGTATGTAAATTTCATCCATTTATGAATTTACTCTTTAAAACTGTACAAATATTTACTGAGTTCCGGCTGAGTGCCAGGTATTATGCTAGGCTCTGGAGATAATAGTGGCAAATAAGACAGTGTGCCTGTCCTCATGGAGTTTGCAGTCAGTAAAGACAGATATTATAATTTAATTAGAGTTATGACAAATACCAAAAAGGCAAAAGCACAAAATGGAATGAGTTATGTAATAAGAGGGACTGACTTTGACTATAGTTGGGTGTAATTAGCTATTAGAAGCAATTCTGGTCAGGGAAATGTTCTCCAAGGGACTAGCTATTTAAACTGAGACCTAAGAATGAGTGGAGAGGTAGCACTAGGCTTTTTACATTTTAGGATTTCTGCTTTTTAGAAATAGGATGCACCTTTTGGGCAACTCTCTGTTGAGCTTGGTTTCTTGAGTCCTATTCCCAAGATGATAAACCTCCATATCCTGGATTTGGTGGTCAACCCTTGTTAAAGAAGAGGCCGCCACCACCACCACCACCACCACCACTAACTCTGTTTTGCCCATGAAGTAAGCGTTCTCAATCTTTACTGTAACCATCTGGTCTACTGTTTTCTACTTCCATTCCCTACAGGGGTATCATTAGGCTCAGGAGTGAACCTAGAACAAGAATCTCAAATTGTATCCACAAATAAGAATGGGTTTATGTGAAGTTAACAATACGAGAAGTGCTACCTGACCACAGAAGAGAGCTATCAGTCCACTAATATACTAAAAATCTTAATGACAGAATTTTTTTTTTTGTTTTCTTGAGATTAGGGATTGATTTTTAGTGCTCTTACATTAGGAAATATAACAAAAACATAATTACAGTATTTATCATAATGATAATTAATCAAGAAATGCTCACCCAGCATGTATTCATCTTCTACACCAAAAGCGTCTAGTTCCTCTGGGAACTCTATCCACAGAGGTCTGGGAAAAGAAAAAAAAAATTCTTATTTCAACATCATTAGATGTTTTATTACTATTAAATCACTTTTATTTTCAGTTTTATAACTATTCACAGGAAACTGGAAAAGCCAAAAAGCCAAGATTCTTTTCATGATTTAAGATTTTATAAGCAATTGCTAGGATTAGTATCTTTTTCTAATGTTTAAGAGCTATCTACTTGCTGAAATGTTCCAATGACAGATTGAGAATTCTGGTACCTACAATTTTTCCTTCTGATTGTTGAGTACTAAATACTCTGAAGGCAGAATCAGAGCTCTGTACAAGTCCAAATGCCTAACACATTCAGTATGGAACAAATTAAATGCTTGTAAAACCATATTTTATAATGATATAAAATCTGTGCCATGTTTTCATGCTGTCACTGCCTTTCATTAAGGATGCATGCATCCTTAATCATTATCTATTTAAATGAAAAGAATTGGTTTTATTTGTTTTCAAGCAGGCAACATTTTTCGAGGGTTGAGAAACTGTTGTGTGGGGTTTTTTTTATTATTATTGTTTTACACAACTATCTAGGAGGCATTTGGGTTTATGAAGATAGTAAAATCTCCATTATCTGTGCATCTGGATATCAACTTAATGGTTCTAATATTTTTTTCAACCTCATGAGTAAAGGATATTTTTAAGAGAAACTTATTTTTAGTTTATTCACTAGCCTCCGTAAAAATATATCACTTTCCTACTGAATAGTAACAAAGCAGTAGTCTCAATCTGGCTGATGTCTAGAATCATCAGGGAAACTTGTAACAAATCTAGATCCTGACACCTACCCAAGGAGATTCCCTAGTAGGTCTGGGCGTGTGGCCTTGGAATCTATAGTTTGAAAAAGCTCCCCAGGTGATTCTTATCTGAGCCAGGTTTAGGATCAGCTGATCTGGAAGCCTCAGTGTATTATGTGTCTCTGTATCATTCAATAACCCAGAAAGTTGGTTTTTCACATTCTGCCTCTAAAATAGAATCAGAATATAATTTATACTATGGGAAAAATGTTCACCTCAAACTTGGAATGGTTTAGCTCTAAGGTAAGATACAGCCTAAGACTGGCAGAATAAATTGTTCTTCATGAGAGGACTCTTGTGGATTAAGTAGCGAATTCAGTTACAGTCACTTCCTTTTTCTTTGAAAAATCTGTCTCCTATCAAATATTGACACTTGAATCACAAAATAGCAGGGGATCTGGTTTTTCTGTGACCTCAACTCCTTGACCCTGCTCACAGTTGGTGCTCAGTAATCTGAGGGACATTTGACTAAAAACACATGTCTTTTCTCTTGAAATCACTATGTAATTGCTCCCTTCCCCAATGGCCGGGGATCTTCTGGTGTAGATTGGCTGCTGGGGCCCGCAACCGGTGAAGCCTGTTTACCTCATAACGGGCTGAGCAGCCACATGTGCGCGGTAGAACAGAGAATACCAATAGGGCAGGAGGGTGTAGCGCTGCCGGATGGCTTCCCGGATGAGCCGGGTGTATTCCTCCCCAAAGAGCCAGGGTTCCCGCCTCTTGGTGTTCATGGTAGCGTGGCCACGGAAGAAGGGCTGGTAGGCTCCAGCCTGGTACCATCGCACTAGCAGCTCCGCCTCTGGATTCCCAATGAAGCCGCCTACATCAGCTGATTAGAAAGACAGAGGCTGAGTGAGGTAATGGGACTTCTAACAAATGTGGCACCCAGGTAAGATAAGGGCTTGAAGACTGTCAGGACAAACATGCTGTGTGTGCACTCAAAGTGCCAGGACAACACTGTGGCCTGAAACTAGGGAGCACATATTTCAAAACTCAGCCTGTTTGGGGATCTGACAATATTCTCTTTGAATCCTCTTTTTCTTATCAAAAGGTCCAAGGTTTTGGGGCGCCTGGGTGGCTCAGTCTGTTAAGCGTCTGCCTTTGGCTCAGGTCATGGTCCCAGGGTCCTGGGATCGAGCCTCACATCGG